GTAGCTATCCATGGGTGACTCCATACTAGAAGTTTCGCAGCTGTTTGGAGGTGACATGAATTCCAAAGGTCTTCTCCAGTCAGGCTGCGACTGGAGATGACTTTTTTGGTGTACATGAAGGTGATGGGCGAGAGCCAGCTCCTGCTTATAGAGGAACATCTTGGGTATCTTCCGCCCTGGTACTCGTATCCACGTCCTCTGTCTGGGCAGCGAAAACTTTGCTGATATGTGACTCGGTCGAAGTGACTTTTTTGCCCCCCCCCCTCCTGTATGTATGAAAAACTCAACTGTAGCAAGGAACACAATCGAAACAGCGACTAATGGTGATCATTAATGAGCTGAACTGGTGAAAAAATTAGCCCCAAGGTCAGCGTGTCAGGCCCCAGATGTGCATTCAATGAATGGTGACGGGGAAATCATGAAAACATGCACGACACAACAAAGCGAAACATGAAAAATAAAAAAAATGCGGAACCAAATGAAAAAATGGACAGGCGGCAGTATATCGTTCTATACTCGGCTATTATCGATCGCAACGTTGCGACCGCTTTCATTGGAAAAACGTCATTGGAGCGCGGTTGTTGGACCTATCAGCGTCCTGGGGTCTTTTCAGGAGGTTATATCTCTTTTAGGTGCGGGGCTTTTGAGGAATGGTGAGCAGCATGCTATGGAAAAGTTACTACTGTTGCGTTCTCTACCTAGTTGCAATCTGAATGAATGAAACTAGCGTAACACTCCCTTTGACGCGAAAACGACGCAAACAGCTCTTACGCTAAGGTTAAATGTTACAAGGTCACAACCAACTGTTGGCAGTTTGCCAAAACTCTTTGGTCGTTATCGCGACCAAATGGAGCTATTTCGCTAGTTTCACGAAGTGATTCGCGCTCATAGTTGACTTTTCTGTATTTTATGCTCACCGCTAACTCACCTACAAGCATCCACTATTTGTTCAAGCCTCTTTTCTCTCTTTCACCCCCCCCCCTCTTTTTCCTTTCACATATTAGGTTGTCCCAAAAGTTCGTGAACATTTTTTGAATCTCGTATCAGATCTTTCCTTAGCCATTTCGAGATCCAGTTATGTGGTCTATGGGAAGTGTGTTAAGGTAAGCATCCCGCAGTCGCTGTTCTCATATCCAAAACGGTAATTGAAATTCATCATTTTCGACACACTTCGCTATATGAATCTCACCAAGCCACAACGTGGTTGGAGCCATAAGCGGCATTTCTCTGAGTTAGGTCCTGATGGTACCTTCCACAGTACGGCGCTGAAATGCCCGATCGCTTCCGCTTGAGTGACTTCTATCTGGGAGAAAAACTTCGTCCAAGGAGGCCACCTGCCTTGGATTTGGACCTACTGTGTTCCTTGATTAAAACCAATTCGTACAAATCAACTTGCTATCTAGTCCTTACACTTGACTGGTCCCAAAGCACAAATGAGAGAGGCCTCGCTCCCTTAGAAAAGTTCTGAAGTTCGGTCAAAATTTTTCTCATGAGTTGACCAGTACTCCAAGGGGAGCACATGTGGGTACTGTCTACTAACTTCTCTCCCGCTTCCGTTCCACGGTCTGGTTGAACAGCGCTGTAACTGGATGGAGTAGTGTCTCTAGGTGAATCACTCCCGGAAGCGCCAGCGGCTAGATCCCCAGAAAGGGCAGAACCGATCGCGCAATCCTATCAATCCAGTAGGGCGGTGTCGTGACTTCCGTACGACTCTTCCTTAAAGGGTCGCGTTTATGGTGGGCGCGGCGGTCCTGGCACGCTTAGCGGTACGGTCGAACATTCTAGAAGCCGCTAGGGACGCAGAGTCGCCGCCGACTCTGGCCTTTCTCTCAGTCTACGTCCTGCTGTCATCTCGACTGGTCGCTCCGCTCTGCTCTTCGCCAGCCGTCAATCCATCGTCCGTCCGCGCTGGTTGCTGTCAACGTCCAAGGAGTGGTGCAACGAAGGAGCCGAATCGCCTCAAGGCCGCCGAAGTCCCAGGTAACCACTAGGAGCGGAGGGGCATCCGAACCTCCTGGACAGCCAGAGGGGAGGATGCTTTCGATGCCCCTAGTGGGCTGTTGCCTCGTAGCCCTTAGGTTGTAGGCAGGGTTCGTCCTGTAGGCTAGGGCCGTGTCTTTCCTTTTCGTAGTTGATTTTTTCTTTTGTTTGTAATGTCATAGTTATCAGTAGTCATTAAATCAATAATTTATATGTGTGTATTCTCGATCGATAATGACAAGTGGTAATGCCATGATATCTTTATTGATTAGTTAGTGGTAGTAATTAGTTAGTGCTTTATCGGCTGCATAGCTGAGGTAAAGTTATGTTCGGCGCCGTAGATCTGTGTGACTACTTTGTCATCCCTTAGCGTATGTTAGGCGCAGGCGTAGGTTTGTTGGGTAACATCTGGTAAATAGCCGTAGTGCGCGCCGCGTAGGGGCAGTAAGGGCCTATAGGTTGCGGAGAAGTAGCAACAACAGCACCCGCGTGGCAACACCGTAGGCGAGCGAGGGCAAGCGCTTCGTAAGTCCCCACGCACGTACTCGCGCCGAGCGCGACTCTCTCCCCCGCAGGTGAACCCCGGTGCTTAGTTGGCATTAGCGGAGGGACTGGGTCGCCCCGGCACGAGAGGCGGTGAGACTGTGTATGTGGTGGGGCTTCTTTCTCTCCAAAAAGGGAATTTCTTCTTTCCAACGCTGTGGTAACCAGGGAACCCTATTGTAATCAACTGCAAAAGGGGTGAAAATCTCTACCATTTGGTCCCAAAACCGAGCAATGTTTGCCTACTCCACCACAGCTCAGGGTCACACATTTGGAAAACGACACTGCTCGAGATCCCGAAGCTTAGCTGGGGAATTCCACCACAGTCTTCGTGTAGCCCTGACTTAGCTCTTTCCGATCGCCATCTAAACTAATCCCACAGCGGCCATCTTCTGGGTAAAAAAATACGATTTTTGATAGTACCTCAAAAATGACCCAGCTGCCTTTCTGGGCACAGAACCAAGAAGCTTCTGGAAGCAAGGCCACCACGTTGGCAGCAAAGGTAGCATATGTATTAATGATCAAAACTGCTTCTCACTGGAACAAACTTAACTCGAAAAAATGTTTGAAAGTTTCACGAACTTTTGGGACAACCTAGTAAAAGCGGCTGCTGATTGGCGGAGGCACAGGCCATGGACCTTTGCTCCGCCAGCCGCCCGAGTGACGTCAAAAAACTGCTCCGCATACGAGCATGGGTGAGCTTTTCCCTCCTCCGAAATCTCTGAGAAGAGATAGGCGTGGCTGCGTACTTGAACTGAACGTGGCAGCTGCTAAGCTTTTCGTGGAATTAGCGGCTTTCAAACAATCCAATCAGCACATTATGTTCCACTAAGTAGTGCCCCATTACAATGCTGTGCTGATCTTTTCGAATGTCCATCTTTGGTGGCTTCCAGATAGTGTTTGTAAACCGTAACCTACTGTAGAGCGTTGATCTGTTTGCGGTCTCGATTAATTGATCTGTAACGCGAGTTCCATTCTCAGAGGCCCCGGCTCTTGTAGTTCTTTATTATCCAACATACTGCATATGTGCCCCGCTGCGCAGTTTCTGCTTTTGTCTCCTCTACTTAGCAATCTCAGTCTAGTTTCAATAACCTCACGAACAGTGAAGGGTTCAACATGGCAGCTCAAAAATAGAACTGAGCGTTGCGCCTGGCACACCTGCTCTATGGGTTGTGGCGCCAATGTCGAAGAGGGTGCTCTGCACCGTTAACAACATCTTAGGAAAATCATACCGAGGGTATCTCATGTAGCTCGTCCCCCCCCCCTGTCCGAAGTGAACTTTGCACAAGGGGGCAAGTGAAGGTGACTGATTGAGTTGTCTTTTCCTACCCGTTCCGCCCTGTAAGCTACCTTGGGCACTCTATAGCACTGTGCTCGCATACACAGTTCCGTCTGGTGGAGCTCCGTGAGGCACGTGATGCTACCGTACTCCTTATCTCTAAGATGGAGTAGGCGTGGCATTTGGACATGGCTTAATGTGAGTAATTCAGAGAATTTTCTAACTTGAGACAAATCATGTTGTTCTGTGCTGGACAAAGACGACCACAATTGTCTCGAAATGAATATCTCACCGGAAGCTCTGTCACGGCCACCTTTGGTTGAAGTACGCAGCCACGCCTACCGCATCTCAAGGATTTCGAGTGTACCTGGGTGCATGACCAGGCTTTTAGCGTTTCGAAGCAGATTGGTGTCGCTATGCATAGTGCAGAGAAAAAGAGACAAAACGTGGAAGGTCGGTCCAATTCCGAAGTTTTAGTTTTAACTTATTGTTAGTCACAAGTAGTGGTAATATGGGCAGATGAGTTGGAGGATACCCTACATCCCGGCAGGAGGACAAAATGACGGTTGCCGTCGAAGAAGTAGAACGGCGGTTGCCTCAAAATAAAGGATCCCTTTAAAAACGCATCCTCGTCATGTTCGAATAAGATGCAGCCGTGCCCCCTCTATACCCGGCATATGGGGTCTAGACGTATCATACCGCGACGTCTCCATAAGGACATGGTAGACATTTTTGTCTAATTTTGGTCATAATTTGTGTCTATTTTTGGTCATACATTGTCTATTCTCGACCAATACCACCTGAAATCGTCGTCATTAGCGGGCGCGACGTCGCACGCGACGCCCACTGGCGTAGCGAACTACGATTCATTTGCCACATCCCAGTTCCACCGGAGAGCACTAAAGAACCTACACCAGTACGGAGGACGACTAAATCAAGGAGAGCTAGAACGCAGCGATTCTCTTGCCACATACCCGTTCAATATAGCTATGTTCATATCAAAATCTCAGAAGTGTAACACGGCGTTTATCACCTTGCTTATCTCAACTATGGCTTTCTTGCTGAAAGCGTGGAGTTGATTTCTATAGGGTGGTGCGGCTCGCCCAGTCGTGGTTGTGACTCTCATACAACTCAACCATGGCCCAACTCGACGTTGACAGTTTGATGTCCCGGTTACTAAACGTGGGATATTTACGGCATGGCCGGAGGGCGACTGACTACATCGGTACGTTTCCAAATCTGCGAGATGGTGATTGTTCTCATTGATAAGTGACTTCTGCAGGTGTCAGAGCAGGAACTTCAGCAGTGCTGCTTTGTTGCTCGACAAGTTTTTATATCCCAATCATCGCTCATTGAGTGTGAGCCACCACTGGTCGTTTGTGGAGACATTCATGGACAGGTGAGAGAGGACTGTCTTGCAGATGAACCCCGCTGTAACGACTACCTTTCAGTACTCGGATCTGCTACGTATTTTTGACAAAAACGGTTTCCCACCGGAGACGAACTACCTCTTCCTCGGAGACTACGTCGACAGGAGGACGCCAGAACATTTGAAACTATATGTCTGATGTTCTGCTACAGAATTAAGTACTTGCTTCCTGGTTATTCTCTCTTGATTCTCAGAAAATTTCTTTGTTTGCTCCCTTTTCAGATATGCTGAGAGTTTCTTTATGCTTCGCGGAAACCACGAATGCCCTGCCATTAACCGTGTGTATGGTTTCTATGAGGAATGTAACAGACGCTATAAAAGCTCTAGATTGTGGAGCTCATATCAGGTGATTCGTCGAGTCACCTTATTCTCTTCGACGATTTGAATCAGATCAGTGGTTTACTATTCAAGACCTCTTTGCGTAGTGAACACGGTGCACTGGGTGTAGAGAACCGCATTCAGAGTTAAGTTTCTTCTAACATTGCAATTTGTCGAGGCGGGAGTGCGGCGCGGCATGAGCCCGCATGCAGCTGCCTTGCTCTACCAATGGCGATCGGGAAAGGATCAGTTCAGGATTAAAACAATGGTGGCATGCCGCAGGTCGCGACCGCTGACTGCGACCCGACTGGTTGAGGTGATATCAACTTCAAATTCGATTGCGCCCAAGGTGCACCATTCATCGTGGGAACTACAATGGAGGGTCACATTTAGTCTCGAGGAGTTCTGCTTGTCTGTCTGTGCGCTACACCCCCCCCCCCTTTCGGGTGTCGACGTTACAACATAACTGTCTGACATTTGATGGGAGGGGGGTCTGAGCTTTAACATTTTCCGCGAGGTGCCCCGGGAGAACTAATATCCAGCGAAACTGAACCACGTCATGTCCGCTGTAGTCTGCACCCTCTCGCCGATATGCTGACATGGCTATAGCAGCAGCAAAACTTTCGCTTCCTGAGGTAAGAACATGACCGGATGCCATCAGCATTGTGTGGCAATGGATATACGGACGGATAAAGGATTGTTATCACCATGCTGAACGTGTGAATGCTGTAAGGCAACGTAAAAGCTGTGAAGCTGGCATGAGGGGTAAGAGTGGCCGTGGAGGCGCAACGGATAGCATACTCGCACGGAAATCGTGATTTGCGGGTTCAAATCCCGTCTGGGTCAAGGCTCTTGCCAATAACTTTGCATTCATGCAATAACTTTGGGATATATACGAACGTTATCGTTGGACGACAACACTCCCTAAGAGTTGTTTAAGCTGGCGCCGCTCTTCTCGATGAACGTCGGGACTACCTCCTAAATGGTGATTTTTGTACTGCTGTTGATAATCCGCTTACTATGTCTGTCTGTGTGTCCCACCAAATTCATAACGCCCTTCCCAAGGAGCTGTGGGGACGCTGGATCCGAGAAATGTGGGTATGAGCTGATACGTTCGAGTTTTGATTTCGAATTCCAGAGGCCCGCTCACGATTACCAGCTTGCAAGGCGTTCCACCCATTTTTTTTTTCAATGTTAAGCCATTACTGACATCGCCATTTGAAAGCTGATAAAAGCCAGTAAAAGGAAAAGTGATAAGTGTCAACGATGAAATCCGCCACACCGTCACTGGAACATTGCCACTGATATGGCTATCCACATATCGACAGTGGGGGATAACCGTCCGGTAGGTTATCCTTACTGTCGATATGTGGATAGCCATATCAGTCGCTTAACGGTTGGTGCGTACCAAGTTGTAATGGGGAAAGCAAGTGGCTTTATCACTGATGGCGCAATAGCCTTTGGTCAACAGCATCAGTGAGCGCTAACTGAAGCATCCTAGCTCTACAGTAACGAGCAACGATGTTGCTACGGTGGTGTACAAGTACTCGCTCTGAAGAAGAGTAGGACGCCTCAGGGATGGCAAGTGCTTGGAGCGGTAGGGGCTTTGGCTGGGAGGATGCATTAGCTCTGATTGCTAAGTGGGTGTTAGGTATTCGCATGAAATACAGAGGTACTTCTGTTGCTAGTTCAGAGAAAGACAACCGAAAAAGGAAAGGTCCCGATAGTAGTCAAAGATTATGATGTGCCATTAGCTATTTTGATTCAGCGGGAGATGCTGGTTTCTCCATATTCTGTTTGTGGATCCCTGAGGTTGCATACATACTTTGCGGCGGCGTCCACCAGCGACCACCAGCGTGTCGAGCGTCCGTCAGCCGCAGCGATTAGTGACGTATGGCTATCGATCTAGCGAATGGCCGCGTACAGCAGCGTCCACCAGCGTCTAGCAGCGTCCACCAGTTACTAATAAAGTACGAATATCGATCTAGCGAACGCCAGCGTGCACCAGCTATTGGTAAAGTATGGATATCGATCAAGCGAATGTTAACGTCCAGCGTCTAGCAGTGAAGAGCGAAGAGGAGGGAGCAGACAAGTAGATTAACATATTGCGACGCCTAATCCAGAGGTCTGCTCCCTCCCACTTCCCCATACTCTACCAGCAGTCTGCTACCCTGATGCTTCCCCATACTCTCCACTCCAAGACGCTGCTGGACGCTGTCGCAAAGTATTCCTAATGAACGCAGCCTCCCATAGTTTTAGTGAGTCTTCCACGAACGACACATGAGCTTG